CTCTGCTCTCAGGGTCTTGGCAACCCTCGTGTTTCACAGTGGCCAGTAGTCAGCCAGTCTCCACGACCAACCAAGACAAAGTCAGCATGTGCAGGTCTGAAATAATTATTAAAATGAAATAGAAATAGGTTAAATTTTACCCAGGCTTTTAATGATATACTTAATTGTTGCTTTCCTGTGTAGAAAATAGGCATAAGTGGCCAAGCGCGGTGGCTCACGCCTGTAATCCCAGCACTTTGGGAGGCTGAGGTAGGTGGATCACGAGGTCAGGAAATCGAGACCATCCTGGCTGACACGGTGAAACCCCGTCTCTACTAAAAATACAAAACATTAGCCGGGCGTGGTGGCGGGCGCCTGTAGTCCCAGCTATTTGGGAGGCTGAGGCAGGAGAATGGCGGGAACCTGGAGGCAGAGCTTGCCATAAGCCAATATCACCAGCCTGGGTTACAAAGTGAGACTCTGTCTCAAAAAAAAAAAGAAAGAAAAAAGAAAATAGGCATAAGTGGAAATCAGTTCCCATAAAGTGACTGAAATTCCTATGACTGACACCACCAGCTCTGTGCTTTAATCTTTCCGTTTGAAAATTCTGATTGTTATAATCAGCAAAAATGCCACCAGTTTCATAATCATAATTAGCCATCTTCCTCCTAACACAGCACGCACACACACCTGCACTCACACACACCTGCACGCACACACACCTGCACGCACACACACCTGCACTCACACACACCTGCACGCACACACACCTGCACGCACACACACCTGCACGCACACACACCTGCACTCACACACACCTGCACGCACACACACCTGCACTCACACACACCTGCACGCACACACACCTGCACGCACACACACAAGCATAGGTGCACAGACCCACACAGATGCATGCAGGCACATCCGAATTCTTTTCTCTCTGATTCTCAGCCCTGGAGCTCAGATTCTTCAGTTTCTTGCCCCGTCTGGCCTGTCTTCTACAACCCTCAGTTTGAGAGGACCTGAAACTAGATTCTCACCTGGGTACTGAAGGACTCGAATGAGCGAAACCTTTGATTCTCAAGGCTGTGGAGTCTGTGTCCTGAGCAATAGGAAAGGGGTCAGAATGCAGGGCTGCTAAGGAAGTGAATAGGAACTCCGTTTACTGGACACCTATGGTGTATCTGGTTGGGTTGAGCACCTTTGCAACATAATCTCATTCTACCCTAATTTAAAAGAAAATGAGGTGGTTATTAGTCTCCCATTTTCAGTTTAAGAAACCGTGGCTTTAAAAGCCTAGTAACACACTTCAGGCTGAGATACAGATAGAGGTTATAAGACTGAAACCAGATTGAAAACTAAAACAGTCACTTTCAAATGCATGATTTTTCTGCGGTTTGGTTTCTAGCCTTTCTTTTTGCGCCTTTTAACCACTTGTAAAACTTTAAACACACTCACTCCCATGTGCCACACCCAAGCTCGTGGGGGTCGTGACGCTGCAGGAAGTCATCTTGTGTAGATACCATCACATCCAGGCCGCAGCTGACCACGCGTTCGAATTTTTTTGTAAATATGTCTTTGACTGGGGAGGCTGTACATCTTCCCTAGGCTTTACATTTCAGTCCTGTGCTTGTCCCTACATGTTTAAAAAAAAAAAAAAAAAAAAAGTGAGGGTGAGGGAACGCTACCTCTGCACACCTGCTGCAGGCTCAGCCAGGAGCCCGGTGGGGCCGGGGCCCACCTGCCTGGCACGTAACTTCATCAAGTTGTTGGTGTGCATTTTGCAATAACAAGGGACAGGCCGTGTCATCCTCATATCCTTTTAGAGTTGGAGCCATTCTTGTGACTTTTGGTGCCTGCTTCCAGACTCCCCTGTTTTTGATGAGAAAGATGAGCAGTCGTTAGATGTCAGTGATTCTTCTTTGAAACATAAAAAAAGACATACCTGAATTGTAACTGTCATCCACTATCACGAAACTTTAAACGTTAGTGTTCAGTAAACCTATTTTCCATTCAACTGCCAACACGCTCCTTTTAACAAAAGTGTCAATCAAATTAATCCTTTTAACTCTCCCAAGTCTTTCCTCTTCCCTTGAAATGAAATCGGATCCCCCGCAGAGCTGGCGAGCCCCCATGTACCCTGGCCACTGCCCACACGTACAGGCCGATTGCTTCTCCCCTACTCATCACTCTAGATGCCCTGGCCTTGTTCCCTCCTTCAGAGGCATCCGCCTCACTCCTTTCCTTGACTTGCTGTCCCCCTCTCTAGAAAGCTCTTTCCCTCTGCTCTGTTTCTTCTCTGTTTTCAGGTCTCAATGCAAATGTCACCTCTCAGGCAAGCTCTCCAAACTGAGACAATAGGAGCTCAGCTCGTGTCTATCAAAATAGGAGCAAACAGACTTTGTAGGAGACTGAGTAGAATGTTTTACTGGGACTAGACAATATCAAACTTAGACCCCAAGATCCCAGGAATTCATATTCAAGGTCAAAGTGTCAATGACAAGAATACTGAGCCTTACATAGGTACCGTGCTGCACCATTTATAAAGCACTTCCATACACAGGGGATCTTCACAACCCCACGAGGCTGCCAGGTCTCTCGAAAAGAGGACTCTGATGGTCAGGGCAGCCAACAATATACCCAAAACCAGGACCCAAAAATGCTGCCTCCAAAACAAGCCATAATTCTTCTCATCACAGCATCCTACACCATCTCCTAGTGGGTAAGACTCACAGCCCGGCACCATCATGGTTTATTTCACAGGAAGGGGCAGGGCAGGGATTAGGAGACATTTCCTGGGTTCTGGTTTCCTTGCTTCCTTGTTATGGGCCTCTCCCCTCAGAGCAGTGTTTTCTGAGAAGGCCTGGCTCTAGCTAATGACCTCAGAGACTGCAGACCTGGGAACCTGTGGAAAAGAGAAATTAAGCTTGCACCTGGGAAAGCCCAGAACCTCGCCTTTAAGAATTCTTGCTTTTTTTTTTTTTTTTTTTTCCCTGCCTCTGCTTTGTTGCTGAAATATCCAAGAGAGAAAGAGAGCGTTCTGAACCCATTATTTATCTCCTCCTTCCAAGCAGGCAGCAGACATTCATGATTAATGATGAGGTGACTTTCTACATTGATTTAATTGAAATCTGTATCCTCTCCAGGTTATTTATTTTTAAAGTTGATAAAGACCTTTTCTACTGATTCTTCTCTTCCAAACTCAAATAAAGAAATGTTTTGTATACATGATCTTCCGCTAAAAAGGAGCCCAGACTCTCAGATCCTCTATTCTCTATTCTATAGGGTTGTGCTGCTGAAGACAGATGGAGTAGTGAGTAATCAATCTTTGAGACTCAACATTCTCTCCATGTTAGCCCTAACGCGCGAGAGAGGGCTGGTCCACACTTAAGGCGAGAAGGTGGCCACAAGCAAGTGTTGAGGGCTGGTCTCCTTAGCTGTCCTCTGGTATCCGCAGCCCTGAATGGAGGGTTTGGGGTATTTTTCCCTGGACATCTCTACCACACCTAAGTATATGGTCTGCAAGTTTTGGAGAGAATTTCCAACCCCCACTCTACCTCCTGCCCCTCTGTACCTGTTCTCATAGGTTGAGGATATGCTCCTCTCTATTAAAAGTTCCCATTCTCAATCTCTTCATTTCAATCATTGATTTAGAAAAGTAGGAGTAGAGAAGTGAAAAACGAGACTCAATCTCATTTGTGGGCTGGGCCTTGGGTTTCCTTACTTGATTACTGTTTTTGTTTTTTTAAACATTGGTAAATCTGGTTGCCACTGAAGGCAGTAATGTGACAAAACGATGGTCCCAACTGCATTTAAATAAAAACAGGTGGGACCAAAGCTCAAGGCTCACTAGGACAAAAGAGGCTTTTCCGTCAAATAACCCACTCACAGTTCTCCATCATCTGACGCGGACCCCAGGCAACCGAGCAGAGAAACTTAGCAGAGAACTCCAGCGTAGAGTTCCAGGCCCACATCATAGAAATACAGAAAGTCGCAAGGAGTCCTTGAGTGCCAAGGCAGGGACGAAGAGAGGAAGGTGAACCAAAGGCATCTCCCTACCATCCGGCCTAGCAGATCCCACACTCCTCCTGACCACTGTATTCCTCTACCCTTTGCTGCTCCTTCCTACTTTCTACCTAAACATTTCAGTACAGCGTGGTTGTGTGTGTGCATGTGTATGTGCACACATGCACACGCCTGTCTGTGGTGTACATATGCTTATATAATATGTGGTTATGTATATGTATATATGAGATTACATACCATATGTTAAGGTGATATATGTTACCTTAGTACAGTTTTTGGTTTTTTTTACTCCAAATGTTTTCAGATCCCTCCACTTAATGTTTCAAAATAAATAGTTCCTGTATCTGTAAAGACACCTTCATATGAATTTGCCATTCTCTTTCCCACCACCTTCTTCCCAAACACTAAATGCAGGTTAATGGTCTTTCAGGGAGACTTTCCATTGAAGGAAATCACAGACCATATATGGGGCGAATAACCCCTTCATCTGATGGAAAAACACTGGTTATTTTTAAAATTTATACAAGACAACCAATTTTGGAATTAATGAGTGAAACAGACAATTATAACTTTTGAAAAAGAGTTTATTAGGAGGTTAACAAAGGATTTCTATTGCGTCTCCAAAGACCAAGAGTGACAAGGAAGATTTACTCCAATTATGTTCTGTTTCGTAGCATGCCCATCAGTTTTGTCACAATTAATTGAATTTTCTCTAAATCGCATTTAGGTAAGTTTTGTTCAAGTATAACATGTTATGTAAATGCGTCTTTATGATGATAGATATTACTTGATCTTGATCCTGCTGTAGGTCTCTCTGTGTGACTCAGAAGACAGATTTTGCAGCCTTATGCTGAAGAATCAAGCCAGGGAATACAGTGGGAGGCTAGAGCTGACCCCTGGAAGCCAGGGCTGATAGAAAGGTTTCTGCCTCTTTCCAAAGTGTGTTCACTGTTGGAGATGTTGGGATGAAGTAGAGTTGAGGTGTGACTGATGTCTTTCTTCTCCTCCCGGTCATGGGGCCTCTAGCACCCAAAAGTGTTGCAAGGCCCGCACCGAGCACGTGGGCCACAGGGATTAGAGATACAGGGCCCAATGGACTTGTCACATGCATTTGTTGTGGCGCAGGGGTTGGAGGGGAGCCTATGGGCAGAAAATCATTGGAGCAAGTTAGAGTATAATGAGCTGAAGAGATGGGAAAATAATAAAAGGGCTTTGTATAAGAATATTGTTCTCCTTTGGACTGCCTCCAAACAAAAGCTCGAAATTATAAATTCATTTCCATCAAGAAGACTATTCATCTCCACAGCAACCTCACATGCCCCAAGGAAAAGATTACTACCCCCATACTGACTTGCAGTCCTCACTCTCCAGGAGGCTCCGGTACGTGTTGATCTCACACTCCAGCCGGGCACGCACGTCCAGCAGCACCTGGTACTCCTGGTTCTGCCGCTCCAGGTCACAGCGGATCTCCGCCAGCTGGGACTCCACGTTGGTGATCAGGCTCTGCACCTGGGACAGCTGGGAGCTGTAGCGGGCCTCACTCTCCGTCAGCGTGTTTTCCAGAGAGTCTCGCTGTGGTGGGGAAGATCAGGAATGTCAGAGAGCTGCTCCTAATAAGGTTCTTCCATGGGGTTCCAAAGAACTCACAAGCTCCAAGAGCTAAGGAGAGTGTGTGGCCCCAAGGGCATCCCCGAGACTCTGCCTCCCAACTTCCCATCGCTCACCAGCAGGGCTGAACAATACACACCAGGTTGTGCTGGGCCTGCAGCTCGATCTCCAGGGCATTGACCGTGCGTCTCAGCTCGATGATCTCCGCCTGGTAGGACTGCAGCTGCTCTGCGCTGGATACCACCTGCTTGTTCAGCTCCTCAGTCTGAAACACCCAAGTAGGGAAAGGATCAGACCCTGCCTCCAGGGCCCTGGGGCACCTCGGGTCCTGAGCGGCCATGTGCTTAGATGCCCACCTGCGTGGCGAACCATTGCTCCACTTCCCTGCGGTTGGTTTCCACCAGGGCCTCATATTGACTCCTGGTCTCGTTCAGGACCTGGTTCAGGTCCACAGCAGGGGCAGCATCCACCTCCACGTTGAGGCGGTCTCCAAGCTGGCAGCGCAGGGTGTTGACCTCCTGATTGAGAAAGGGCAAAAGTTTAAATTTCACAAAGGATCTTGGTGCTCTCCTTAAGAGAAAGCAATTCAACTTCTGATCATTGGTAAGTTTTCAGGAAACTTTGTTCCCTCTGATCCTCTCATTAACCAGGATCTATATTCAATGACTAATCTGTATACTCCACTTTTTACAAAGTACTTTCAAGCTCATGACCTCTCTCTGCCCTTTGTATTAAATGCACCACTCCTCATTTAGAGAGATTCAGTGATTTGGGCTCAGAGCTGATACATGGCAGGCCATTATTTAAACTCTGGTCCCCAAATGCCCAGTTCAGTGTTTTTGCTAGTATACCATATAGCCTCATATGTTTGACTCTGAAGCATGGATAATGAAAAGAACTGAGTCTAGCTGAAGAGGAAATACAGAATGCTTACTTCAAAATCTGCCATCCTGGCATAGAAGAGACTTAAAGGGTGATTTGTTGATTCCACCAGCATAGATTTGCTGAAAGCAATAAATATCTGTTTACTTCCCTGCTGAGCATAGCTTGGTCCTTGGGCTTAGGTGGATTTCAGACAAATTTGTATTCAACCTAATCTCTACCACTTAATACATTGCTTCTAGAAGCTTCTTGAAGCCTCAATTTCTTCATCTTAAAATGAGAACTGCCTCCGGAGTTAAAGCACTTAGCACAATGTTCGGCACATACTAAGCACCTGATTAATATTAACTGTCACCATTTACATTGTTCTTGGATTTCAGGTTGCATAAAATACATGTCTTCTTTTTTGTCCAACTGACTTAGCCGTAACAGTGAGCATTTTGCTCAAGGCTGTTTCCAAGCAACACTGAACAGCAGAAAGAGCTCTGGACAGGAATGAGAGTTGCATTTTGTTCCAGCTCAGCCCTCTCTGCCTGGTGGGCCTAGGCCATCCTGGCTTCTTCAGCTACAAATGGAGAATTGGAATAGAAGATTGCTGTTGTGTGCACTCTAACCAGGGTGCAGGAGAGGCTGTGGCTGCTGCCTTGTTACTCAACTTTCCTCATTAAGTTTGCCAACTTCCTCACTCTCATTCCTGCCTCTGGCAGAAAAATCCTAATCTCATATCACAGGTTGTTAGACTACTCATTCTCTACATATCCATTTTTGTATGCAGAATTACTTCCTCAGCTAATTGAGCCTCTAATGACAGCCTGTCCCGGACCCTGTGGTGGTTATCAAACAGGCCTTGGTGAGTCTGAGCCCATCACTCTTCAGGGAACTCACCTGCTCATGGTTCTGCTTGAGGCACAGCAGCTCCTCCTTCAGGGACTCCACCTGGGCCTCCAGGTCAGACCTGCACAGGGTCAGCTCATCCAGGATCCTGCGCAGGCCATTGATGTCCGACTCCACCAGCTGCCGCAGGGACATCTCGGTCTCATATCTGTGATCATAGGAGGGTCAGGGACAGGCTGGGCAGGAATAGGCTTGGCCTTAACTCTGCTTTGGTTTGGTTTGTCAGGCAACTAGGAATTAGGGTTTACAGTTTTTATAGCCATCTCTTTTGTTTAGGTTTCCAGCATCAAGCTGGAAGAAAACGCACTGGTAATTTTATGTTTAAAGATCCAGTGGATAGACTTCTACATTCCTAGCTACTCAGGAGACTAAGGTAGGAGGATTGCTTGAGCCCAGGAATCTGAGGATCTGAGGTTACACTGAGCTACGATTGCACCACTGTCCTCCAGCCTGGGTAACAGAGCAAGGGCCTGTCTCTAAAAAAAAAAAAAAAAGGAAAAAGAAAGCCAGTGGATTTAGGATAAAAGCCAATAAATTGTAAGATTTCCAAAATAATATACTTCCACATTCTTCATTCTCATGAATGGATTCTGTGCATAGGAGAACATCAGGGGCCAACATGTCTACACTGACCCACAGTACGACTAGGGATGTCACTTCACAGAGGAGAAGCAGGAGGAAAGGAAGTCTAAGGCCTGGAGAAAGGATCTCTGAACTACGGTGTGCAGTGGCTCTGTGAATCTTGGGCAAAGCATCTAGAACATAGCTCAGTCAGTGTTTGTTTAACTTGTGTTGACAATAGGCTAAAGGGAAGGAGAGCAGCCAGAGAAGAAAAATAAACAGTAACACCCCGCTTGCCCACTCACTTGGTCCTGAAGTCGTCGGAGGCCAGCTTGGCGTTGTCGATCTGCACCACAAGCCTGGCATTCTCAGACTTGCTGCACAGGATCTGGAAGGCCCAAAACATTCAAGAATGAGCAAGGACTTGGTAATTTTTCGCCAATGGCAGTCCTTCCTAATTCACGTCCTTGGAAGGATCAGGATGAGAAATCACTGCCTATCTTATTAAATATTTTCTATATACAGTAGGTACTCAATGAATATTTCCAAAATTATATTCAAAAACCAGAACACCAAAATATGCAAAAAGTATAAGTAGATAATCTTTTTTTCTGTCCTAATGAGCAATACTGAGAAGCTGACAATAATAATAGTTGACATTTATGAAAAACACCTACTATGTTTCTGGCATGATACTAGGAGCTGAGGATACAAAAATTGGTAAGCGCTTGATCCTGCCCTCAAGAAACTTTCAATCAAACGGAAAAGACAAGCAGGTAAACTAGCAGTTGCAGAGGGCTGGATCAGGGAGGAAGCCACATGCTCCCAGATGTCCCAGACAACTGGGACTACTTTGTCCTAGGTAATTTCCAATCTTCCCAGTTTTGGACAAATGTTTTAGGCTCTCACTGGACACTGTGCACCAGGAGAAGCCCAGAGTTATGAAGATGAGGACAGTGAAGTCAGGGTAAGTAGGAACCCAGAAGAGAGAGGCAGCCAGCAGTCCAAGGGGCAAAACGCTCAGATGAGGGAGAAAGGAAACACCCCAATCTTTACAAAAGATTCCATTTCCCCAGCTTCCTTTGGACTCAGTCCTTTTCTGTCACCTCAGGGTAATAATTCTGGAGCTTGGCAAGCACATGGAAGCATTCAGAAGTAGTTTTTAATTACAGCTCATTTATGCAAAGTACTGCTACCTCCACATAGACTAACACTATGCAAATATCTAGACCTAACAGTCCCAAGTCTAAGAAGAGATGGGCCCTCAAGAAAGCAAAATGGAAAGGCCAGTTTTCAGCTTTCCATTCACATCAAGAGCTCACATGGCTTCTCAATCACAGCTCGGATTCTCTCCCGACAACTTCCTACTGGAGGCACTGTGTCGCCCACTCCCCACCTTCTGCTGGAGCTCCTCGATGGTCTTGAAGTAGGACTGGTAGCTGGCACACACCAAGGGCTCCTGCTGCTGCGACCGCTCCCGGATGAGGTTCTCCAGCTCCGCGTTGTCCCGCTCCAGCTGACGCACCTTCTCCAGGTAGCTGGCCAGGCGGTCGTTCAGGAACTGCATGGTCTCCTTCTCGCTGCCATTGAAGGAGCCCTCGCAGAACCAGTTGCAGTTGCCCACATTGGCGGGGATGTTGCAGGCCCCAGGTAGGGTGCAGCCGTGGCAGCTGGGGGGCACGCAGGGCCGGGAGGAGCAGCTGGTGCGGCAGCTCAGGCTGGGCAGGCAACAACTGTAAGACATGGTGCAGGGAGGGAGTGCCCAGCTGAAGACAGAGTCCAGAACCTCCAAGTTGTAGATCAGTGGGTCTCCTTCCTCCGGGGAGCATTTATACCTCGTCCGTGGAGGGTGTGGCCACGTAAGGCAACCCCCCCCTTTTTTTTTTTTTTTTTTTTTTTTGCTCATTTGGTGATTGTCAAAAGCCCTTCCCTACATTTGTTGTGTTTCTTCAGAAGAGTCTCTTCCCTCATAAAAGACTTTACTTGGGCTTCTCGCTAAGTCAGGACTCCTCTTCCATGCTGTGTGTCATGATGCAAGAGCTTCGTGGTGTGACTTCAAAGACCTGGACTCATGAAAGCCCTGGCCTTCATCAGTGGGATGCAGCAGGTCAAGAGACAGTATTGCTGTTCTGCTTCCTGACTTGAGGCCCCCAACTCCTTGGCACGCCTCTGGCTCTCCTTGGTGAAATGGAAAAGCATAGCTCTTGCCCACGTGTCTTTTGCTAGGTCACATTTCCAAGTGCTGAATTCCAAATTCATGGTTCTCAGAAAGAGGAATAGATCCTTTCTGGGGCAGTTTCTGATGGCCACGTTTCCTGATATGATGGGCCTTTTTCATATCCATGATGACGTCAATCAAACAAATAATAGATATCCACCAGGACAATTTCATCCAGGGTGATGTAATAGACACTGGGAGGGGTGGGAGATAGGACCAATGCTATGGTCAGAAGTTCTTACTTGTTAAGAACCTGCACAAGCCCAAGGTATTGTGGACACTTTTCACAAACTAGATCCTTTTTACAAACATGATCTTCAAACATGCAGAACTGAGATGTCCATTACTCCTCACCACAACTCTTCAAGATAAATTGTATAATTCCCATTTTATAGATGAGCACACCAAGGCATAGAGGGTAAGGGATAATAAGTTGTGGAGCTAGGTTCCAAAGCAGATCTCTTTTCTTTTCATCACAATATGCGGCTTAAGTATAAATGGCTTACTTCCTTCCCTTCTTCAGACAGGTCGCCCCTTCTCCTCTCCAAGCTCTCTTTTTACCTTGACCATGACACTGTCATGACTTATGTGCTTGTCTCTCTCTCTATTTGAGTTCCCTGAAGGCAAGGGCAGGGTCTAGTTTGTCTTTGAATTCCCAGCTGTAGGCACCTGGTAGGCACTGTTGAATGGGTGTGTATAGAGGGATGAAGGGATGAACAGGAAATAATAATCTGAGGAAGGAGTTGACAAGTGGCAAGTGAGTAGTTTACACACTGGGGAGGGCGAGCGCCTCCAGGATTGGAGGCTCTCAAGAATGGATTTGTGCTGGGATGGGGAGGCTTCTAAGAAGCAGAGGGGAGAAAAGTAGGAAGTGCAGGTGAGGAGAATAATGTGCACACAGGAATGGGGTAGGAAAGCCCAGGGCATAGTTGAAGGACCAGGGTAAGCCTAGGAAGCAGGAAGGGGAGAGTTGTGAAGGGAAGTGGTAGAAATTAAAACTTTATGGGGGATTGTATGGAGACCCTGTGGTAGGGGTCTCAATGGTGAAGTAGAGCAGCTTGGACTTCCCCAGAAGCTGTAGAGCCAATATAAGCTTTTGAACCTAAGTGTGGTGTGACAAAAGTCGTTTTAGGAAATGTTTTAGCAAATATTTATCTGTTTTAGAAAAATGAAGGAAAGATTGGGGGCAAAGAGTTCAGCAAAGAGGCTATTGTAACAGTCCATGTAAGACTAGAATTTATGGCAGGGATGATGATATAGATAAGGTTTAGTACAAGTGAAAGAGTTACAGCACTGGGCCAAGGAAGAGTACAAAGAGAAGAGCAACAAGGAGCTGAGGACCAAACTTTGGAGAATTTCCCAATCAGAGATCAGGAGAAGGAAAAAGAATCCGTGATAATTGGAGAAATGGTGAGAAAAAAAATGATAAGAACAAGTTCGTGGCATCCCAGAAGCGCAGGAAGGAGGGTGCTTCCAATAGGAGGTGACATCAGAAGTGCCAAGTGCAGCAAAGGGGCCGCACATGATCAGGACCATGGAAACGGTATTGACTACCTTGACCGGAAAGTTACCAGGACCCTTCCAGGGTCACACAGTTGTGTCTGCTGTATGAAGCGCCTGTGCACATTCTTAAAGTAATGTCCACAGTGAACTTTGGTAAACCAAGACTTCAAACACACAGAACTGAGATGTTCATTACTAAGAGAAGTTCTGCTGCAATACATTTATATATCTGATTATAAAGCTTGGAGCTTTGATCTTACCAATACAGACTTTCATACAATAATTGGAGTGTGCTTTAAGCAGATGCCAGACTTGTTTGAACTTGATGATTCAAAATAGTTTATTATTTAGGAACAATTATCCAAGAAGCATGAGTAATCTGAACTGCCCATGCATATGACACCACTTCTGTTTTGTTACAAGACGTTAGACAAGCCTTATTTGATATCCTAAAGAGGCAATGAGGAAAAAATTCAAGTATGTGCCTGAGGAGGCATACATTGGCCAGAAAGAGGAGGGGCTCCCTATGTCCTTGCTAGCAGAGGATGAAGCAGATGATAGAGATTCCAAGCCTCCCAGCTACAGCTACCAATCCAAGCAGCTTCCAAGCCTCCCAGCTACAGCTACAGACCAAAAACCAGATGGCCTCGCATTTGGCTCTTCTCTTCCTCCCTCTCACCTCCTAACATAGATCCTAAATATGAAAATGGTTAAAAGAGAGAGGGAAAACCTTGGAACAAGAGAGATATTGGGGATCCTAATGGTCAACTCACCCAACCCCTTCATTTTACAAAGGGGAAACTGAGGCTCAGAATGGAGAATGGAGAAGCTATCATCTAGCTAGGACCCAGATCTTCTGATTCCCACTGCATTATCATCATCTCCATCACCATCCTACTGAAATGTTGAAGAAATGTTGAAGAATCAGTTGAAGAACTGATCTGCTATTACATAAGGACAGAAATCAAGGGCAGTGAGAAAGACATCTTGTTATCCATAGATATGCTGTGTTGAAGAAGAATTACGAGTCAATGTGTAAATAAAGATAGAATTCAGCAATAGTACAGTTTCTTGTTACTCTCTGATTTCAATTGTTATTTCTAAATTGATGATACAATTACATATGAACAATTTGGAGTAATTGAAACATAATTATATCCCATCAGATATAGATTATATCCCATCTGTTTGGAGCAACTTAGAACAATAGGTGAAACAATTGTGACTCTACTCGACAGCAATCTGCTTATCCAGAGTAAGGTACACAAAAGATAGTCACTACAAAATTAAATTGTTATTAAAATGAGAACAATTAAGAAATTAAAGAAAACACACCACAATGACACTTGATGCTGTTAAACAACAGGATTATGAATGCTTTTTTCATCTCTCCAAATTCTTTGAAAATACATGTGTTACTTCTGTACAATAAACAAAATAAAATTCACATTTAAAATTTCAGAAGGAAATTCTTACAAATCTTCTAGAGGAACAATGAGTTGTTAAAAAAAAAAAAAAAAACCTGCAAGGCTCCTGTTCCAATATAGTTACTAAATTACACTTGAGCCTGTTGTCCTAGAAATAAAACCTTTGTTGTGATCGGCACTCATGCCCTTGTGACAACTGCTGACTTTGCCCATTTCAAAGGTGAGCTACTAAGAAGGGATGAAGGGAAATCAAGCTACCTATAGCTCATGAATTGACTGGCATGAGGTCTGAGCTTTGGGTGAAGGAAAGGACAAGGAGGAGCAACCCTTGGAGAAACATTCTGCCATTGACTGCTAGAATGGTCCAAGATCAGCTGCTAGAACCACCTCATTTGACCCGCATCCATAGACTATACCTCCCACATACGTATAAAGAATAATTAAATTTCTTTTCTGGAAATACTATCTAAGTCAAATAAAGACTACAAGCTTAGCATGCTGGAGCTACCAAGGACCTAACTGGTCATTTCACTCAACTCTTTCATTTTAAAAATGGGACAATTTTGACCCAAAAGGGGAAGTGACTTGCCCAGACTTGCAGAGAGCTTGTGAAACAGTCTAAATTGAAAAAGGATAAAGTAGACTAGAGAAATAGGATAAGGCTTTTAGTCTTTATGAGAGAGTTCAGGCTGAGACCACTGAATGAGGTAAGTCCCTCTAAACACTAAACCCTTAGTAAAAATGTGAACTAGAAAAATAAAGTATGCTTATTGTTAAAGGAAAACTTTGAAAAGCTGAACTATCTCTTAGCTCTAATTTTAAAATTATAATAATAAATAGTAAAATAGTAAAAAACAAAAACAAAAACAAAAAAACAGTAAATAGTAAAAATCTCCTCTGGGATTGTTAAACCAGTGACCTATTTATCATTAAGGTTTGGGGGTGAATCGATGCCACCCATATGATTCAAGAACCTTCATGCTGATAAATTAACAAAGCACCCAAGGAAATAACTCACAATTAGCAAGAAGGAGAAGATACAAGATACAGAAGATTAAAGCCAAGAATATTAAATATGTTTAAAGAGCTTATAGGACAAAATAAGGAATCAAATCCCTAAACAAAATGGGAGTTACTATGCAAAAAATGTAGGCATGTTTAAAAACTGTCAAACAACTTCTAAAAGTGAAGAGTATAATTTAAACTGCAAATTTTAAATGTAAAATTTCATCAGTAGGTCTTTAGTGGCTTCAAAAAGTCAAAATTTTCTTTTGATATCAATCATATTATTCAGGGTGCTAAGTTTTCACTCATCTCCTACTGAACTAATGAAATTTTAATTAAAAACAAAGTTTTAGCTCTCATAATTCTATTGGACACTTTTAGATATTTTATACTTCTCCTATTAAGTCACAGCAATTGTTTAATTGTTGCATTTGTTTTGTCAGCTTACTTTTATTAATAATTGTTCCACAGAGCTTCACAGAAATATTTTAACAGAGTTCTAGGAGTCAGCACATTTAATTGTTTTTCTTTTACTTTTTTGACTAAATGACAAATCCATTTTTATAAAATTAAGTTGACTCCTAATAGTTTTTTGTCTGGGGGTTGATGTAATTTTGTTAGTTTTTAAATGGGATGTCACATTTATTCATTTATGTTAAGATATAAAATATGCATTTCTGCCTCATTATTCCCTTTACTTTTATGTGTTCAATCACTTTTTATATATTAAATTGTTCTTAGCTTTAATAACTGAAATATTACTTTCTTACAAAGCCAAATAAAGTATTGTCATCTCTGTTAGAATTGCATTTATTAAAGCCAAGTCTTAAAAAATTAATAATAAAAGAGCCTTTCTTTTCTACAAAAGTAAAATACAATAAACTTTCAAACTCAATTGATAGGTTAAACATTAAATTAGACAAAGATGAAAAGAGAATAAGTCAACTGGAAAAGATAGATAAGGAAATTTACCAGAATATAACACAGAAATATTTAGAGATTGAAAATATGAAAGAGATGACAGACAAGCTAGAATGTGAAGGTCCAAAATCTGTTTGAAGAAATACAGAAATGGCGATATGAAGAGCTTGGGGAAGTCTCTCTCCCAGAAAGACATCAATTAAGCCACTCAAAATTAGCAAAGA